AGTTGACGCAGGCGAGGATCTCGTTAATTAGAGCGCACAGGTTGAGAATTCTTGGTGAGCCTCGCACTTGTTCGCGTGGGCGGAGATTTTTATTAATTGTTATGGTCTTTTCTTTGAATTCTTAGAATCGCTCCATGGTCATTCTTTTAGTGTCATGAGTATTATTTTGCTATTAGCCTTATGTTGAGTATCATTCTTTCTTATCAAAGTCAGAGATAAATTAGTATTTCTGGTTGTTAGTGGGTTGATTAGTAATGGTGAAGACTATTTTGGTTAATTGATAAGTTGTCGATTGTTGAATTGCTATTAGGATGTTTGGTTGCTGATTTGAGACAAGGAAAATTTTTGGGATAGTCTAAAAACAGGGGAAACTATGTCTGATTTTCTATAAAATTACCGATGAGACTTACTTGGGAGCACTTGCTCCTAAGCGCCGGTCACAATCCTAAATTGGGTCGTGACACATTGGCGAATCAGCCCTATACATACATAGGGGGAATAATTGTTTATATGATTTTTGCTGGTTTGTCTTTAAAGTTGTTTGGTCTGTGATGTGATTGCAGAGGATGGAGTCGTCGTTCGACAAATGAATGCTATATTATCTTGCAGCTATTTCGCTTGCCTCAGAGTTTTCCAATTGCTCTTTTCACTGGCCTCTACAGTTCAAAATTTTGTATACATGATAATACAGCATTTATTTTCTACTCTAGCTATACATTTGAGGAGCAAAGTGCAACACTAAATGTTGGTTTTTCCAATTCCTACCCAAGGAGTACTATTTATATTAGAATTTTTACCTCCTATAGCAAAGGTTAACACCTTATTTATTTTAAATAAATACCATTTAAAAAAATTATATTTTATAGATACCTTTTAAGTAATGTTTATAGCAAAATATCTAATTTTGGTTACCTCCTACCTCTAAGCCACTAAATATGCTATTCAGTTACACTATTTTTTTTCTCTCTCTACTTTGATCCATGTCATTCTCTTCCCCCATTCCCTGAAAACACGACTGAGAGCTCCGCTCGCCGATCTCACAACCAACGACCCCTTCTACTTCTTCAACACACCCTAGACCATGAGAACCCCAAAAACCAGCAGCATCCAACACCTCTAAGCACCGTCGCCAGTCCACCAGCTGCTCACNCCCTCTTCCACCAACAACACCACCGGCTAGAACACCCCGTCTCCAGCCACAGCAACCAACCGCTTCCCACCCCAAAAAAACCCTGTCACACGCCTCGACATAACAAACGCCAAAACAGGGCAAGAACCCCATTAACGACCAACACAAATAGCTAGTACAAGATTCGTAAAGTTTACGTTGCAACGCCGTTTCAAACGACAGTCTAGGTCCAAAAGCAATGTGACTTGACTCAATCATACCCAAAAACCTCCTCTCCGTTTCAATGTATTTTCAATGTATCACGTTGTATTTTCATGTATTTTATTGTATTCATTGTCTTTTTTTCCATTGTAATTCAATGTATCTCGCTATATTCCATGTATTTCATTGTCTTTTTTTCATTGTATTTCAATGTGTCCCGTTGTATTTTATGTATTTCATTGTAGTCACTGTCTCGCTATATGTCATGAATGTATTCATATGTTTTTTTAATTAATATAATTTATGTATTCAGATGTATTATATAATTTCTCTGAAGATTGCTATGTTTTTTGGGGTATTTTTCGGTTGAGAATCTTTTTTATACAAGGAAATATAAAATCTATGTGTTATAATTGAGTTTGCTGAGTTATATTAGGAGTCTATTATGTTAATTGATTCACTTTCCGTTTAAAAACAGTGTAATCCCCTGTTTCATGCCGTGAATACAGTCGAATACAATAATCTGTCCAACTGTAATCTCATGTTTCACCCCATGAATATTGTTGAATACACTCGAATACAATAACTGATTAGCTAGACTTCCCTGATTCACGCCTATTTTTTGCTACTGTATTCATGAATACAATAGCTTAAATACATCTAATACAGCTTATAACAACATAAAACGTATCTACAATCCGTAATATAGAAAATGGTATATATAGATAGCTAATTACCACTAAAAGATAGTGCTTTATGAAAATTTCTCATTTATATTTAGAGCTTCTTACACTTTTAGCCCCATCAAAAATTATTTACATTTAGTAGCCGAAAAAATATATACAATTTGTATAATTTTTGTATATAATATATAAAATGTATATATACAAAAAAAAAAATTAGCTGTTATTTTAAGAGTAGCTATACAGTGTCATTTTCCCTGCTATCTATTATTTAGTCCTTGTTGGGAATATGAGGTAAACAAATGATTATGTGAATCTGGAATATAAGTAGAAATACCACAACTAACCAAGACTTACATTATTAGATTTCCAAATTTCACATATTTAAATGTTTTCTTGTTAATACGGGTTGATTTGTTGAGGATGGACCTCTTCTATATGTGATATGTCTACAGCTTCATTATTGAATAAACGAGATCAAGAAGTTGGCATTACGCATGAAAGTAACTATTAATACGAGTAACATTAAAATAAAATAAAAAAGAAAAAAAAAGAAAGAGAGAGAGAGTAAAGATTAAACGAGGGAATCAAATTAGTTATACTTAAAATAAAGAAAGCATACCTGAGTTGATATGCAAACATCGAAAAGACTAAAGTAATTAAAATTGCAAAGAGATATTAGTCAAACTTCCAGATCTAGTTATGTTATTTATTACGTAATTCGATCGGGCTTCCCCTTAATCTAGAACTAGAACAGAGAGAAGCACTAGTGACATTTTCTTGACTATGACCAAATCAAAATCAAGATTAAAAGTCCACCTAAAACTCTTTCACTTAAAACGTGCAAAATTGACCACATGAGCCAACCATTTTTGATCTCCTTTACTATATAACCCAAACTATAATTGGATAAAGGAACTCTTTGAGACAAATAAATATATAGCCATGAAACTCAACTCCAAATTTCTCTCTTACATGCTCTTCTTCATCTCATTTTCTTTTCCTTTCTCCTATGCTTTGAATTCTTCTTCATGTCCAATCAACTTTGATTACATAGAAACCTGTAAATGGGACACTTCTTTATGCACAGAAATGTCTTTAGAAAAGAGCTGTTGCCAAACTCTCCGTAGTCTCTTTGGAATAGGACTCGCTCAACACCTCAAAGAAACATCCATGTTTTATCTCCCAAACGAAAATGTTGTCGTTTCGTGCGTTTCAGACTTCAAAGCCAAGCTTTCTTCCATGTCCATTTCTCAATCTTTTGTCTCTCAATGCATGAATGAGACTAATGAATTCATCGTTAAGCCTTCGAGTTGTGGAGGGATTGTCACAATCAAAGATTGGATGGAAAAAGTTGGTCCGAATAGCCTACTTGACTCATCTTGTACTGGTGATCTTGGAGGGCTTACTAGGTGCAGTTTGTGTGTTGATGCTGGTTTGAAGATAAACAGTTATTTAGTATCATTGAATCCGAATTCGACTACGACTAATAGGTGCTTCTATTTCACTGTCCTTTATGCTGCTGCTATGGTTAATGAATTTGGACCTAAGGATCCAAGAACTGCTAGTTGTGTTCTTGCTTTGCCTTTGGCTAACAAGGCAAGGGGATCGCGCAATCTTAGTAGAGACACTCTGTTAAAATTGGTTTTCGGGTTTTTGGGTGCTTTCTTTGGGATTTTGGGTGCTATAAGTATTACTATTATTTACAAAAAATGGGATAAAAAGAGAACGCAAGATGCATTGCATCAAGGGTATGTGACTAGTGTTAGATCCCAAATTTTGCCTAACACTGGTGCTAAATGGTTTCAAGTAGGAGAGCTTGAACAAGCCACAAATGGATTCTCCCAAAGGAATATGATAGGCCAAGGAGGAAGTGGAACTGTCTATAAAGGGACCCTTTCTGATGGTACATTAATTGCTGTGAAGAAAATTATTGATATGGATTGTAAGGGTGATGAGGAGTTTATTAATGAAGCAGAGATTATAAGCAAGATTAGGCATAGAAATCTTCTTCCTTTAAGAGGTTTTTGTGTCACAAGTGATAATTTGAATGGCAAAGGGAGATATTTGGTGTATGATTTCATGCCAAATGGTAGCTTAGATGATCATCTATTCAATGCTGGAATGAAACGATTATCTTGGCCTCAACGAAAGAACATAATTATCGATGTGGCTAAAGGGCTTGCTTATTTGCATTATGGAATCAAACCTTCAATTTACCATCGCGATATAAAAGCCACGAATATACTCGTGGACATGGATATGAAGGCAAGAGTTGCAGATTTCGGATTAGCTAAGCAAAGCAAAGAAGGACAAACTCATCTTACAACAAGGGTGGCTGGCACATATGGATATCTAGCACCTGAATATGCGCTATATGGGCAGTTGACAGAGAAGAGCGATGTTTATAGCTTTGGCATCGTGATCCTCGAGATCATGAGTGGAAGGAGGGTTCTTGATGCGTCGAATTCTTCTGCATTGTTGATCACTGATTGGGCATGGACAATGGTCAAATCAAGAAATGCAGAAGGTGTTTTCGACGTGTCAATAAGGGAGGAAGGGCCAAAGAGAGTAATGGAGAGATTTGTTCATGTTGGTATACTTTGTGCTCATGTTATGGTAGCTCTAAGACCAACAATTGAAGATGCTTTGAAAATGCTTGAGGGTGACATTGACATTCCAAGATTACCTGATAGGCCACTGCCCCTTGGCTTTCAGTCATTTGAATCATATTCCTTACATAGTTATAGATTCAGAGATAGTTCAATTAGCAGCAGCAGTAACAGCTTATCAATACATACATAGAAAACTTATTTTTGACCGTATTGCTACCATGTGACCAGGAGGTCACGGTTCAAGCCGTGGAAACAGCCTCTTGCAGAAATGTAGTATAATGTTGCATACAATACACCTTTATGATCCGTCCCTTTCTCGGACCATACGCATAGGGGAGCTTAGTGCACCGGCCTGTCCTTTATTGACGCAAGGAAAGTTCAATTGTAAGGGCTTTTGAAAGGTCAGAAAAATTGCACATATGCCAGACACAAGTTAAAAAATCAATTTTGCCCTTTTCTTGTCTTGGTCTTATTTTGACCTTTTCTTCCCCTCAATCCTCTTGTTTACTAGAATTATTTTCTTGTAAAAATTTGTACACAAATTAAAGCTAGAAAGGATTTGGTGGGCATTCTTTTGTGGGTTTCGTCTGCAAATAAGGTATTTAATCAGCGTTTGTGAAATTGAGAACAAAATTCCAACTTAAACTTGGAACTACCAGTTTTGTCCGCCGAACAATAATAACCACCCAGTATTATCCCACAAGTGGGGTATGAGGATGATAGGTGTACGCAACTTTACCCTTACCCTGGAGGGCAGAGAGACTGTTTCCGATATACCCTCCGCCAAATATTATCAATATTAGCCAAACGCTACCCATATTAGCCAATTAGCTATTTGTAGCAACAACAAAAAAGATAAATTTTTGCTTTCTTTTGAGTCAGTGTTATTGGAATATATTGGGTATATCTTAAGGAGTTTGAATCTTAGTTTTGGAATGATTTGACGGAGTTTTGGGGTGGTTTGATTGTTTGAATTGATAATTCGAAGTAGAAACTATGGAAAAAGATGAAGTGTATCACACTTTATATCATTTGTGTATCACATATGTATTGTATTTGTATCAAATGTGTATAATATGTATATCCATGTATACTTGTGTGTGAAATACATGTGTAGTAGAAGAATTTTTTAAACTCGATTTTAACTATGAATTTTGATACCAAACCAGTCCGAATCACCTCAAATCTTGTAAATTTCCTTATCTATATATTTTCAACGAATTCCAACGATACACATTGAAACAAATCTTTTTTTGCCTAATTTATTTTAATATTGTATATCTTGATAATGAATACGGACTCCAAACTAGTCTAGTTCATCTTCAAACTTCCTTACATTTTGTATATTGTTTAATCTATATGATTTCAACGAACCGCAGCAATAGCCATGTTACACCCTACACATAAAATAAAGTTGGAAAGTGTGGGTCAAGGTTTGAAGCTAGGAGGTACACGTTTCGTAAGCATGTGACAAGTGTCCCATCGGGCACTGTGATCGCGGAGGGACGACCCATTTTGCATGTAGACCCGACGGAGTCTCCTATGCACCCTCAGTCATATATATATCATGTACTTGATCAAGAAACTTTCTTCTCTACATTTATCAGCGTATCATTTTCGTTCTTTAGAATAGACACCTCCATTTTAAGATTTATGTCCAACTTTGGGGTTTCTTGCTCTCCTTTCATATATGTTATCCCTGGTAATAAAATTTCTTTAATTACCAATAAATTGAAGTTTTGTGAAATAGATGGTTGTAGATGATTGCAAAGAATAAATTTCATTTTAACTTTGGCTTAAAGCACTAATTACAATGGGTGTAGGCAACGCATAATCCATCCTTTGAAGAATAGAGACCAAGAAATAGAACACATAAACTCCATCTAACTTCATTAGAATGTATATTTGGATAGATTAAATTTGGATAGAACATATTAATAGATCTAATTTTTTTTATTTTTTAACCCGTTTAAATTTGAATTTTTTTTATTAATTACTATACGGGGGGGAG